TGAGGCGGCTGACGCTTCCTAGACTCCAAGTCTACGTAGTAGCGAACTTCATCGACTTATTCTAAAGCCTTGGTAATTTGACGAGCTTGGCGTTGGTGTCGCCTATGACGAGCTCTCTTCATCAGAGTTGGCATACCTTGATTGGATAACTCTTTGATTGGAGAGGAGTTGTGGTGAGCATAGTCATTTGTAGCTTTCATCGACGAATACGCCTCCTTCAAAATTGAGATTTTTCCGCACTTATAGGGAGAGGAGGATTTTGATGAAGACGATGAGAAATATTCCTCAAATTTAGCTTCGTCGAACTCGTACTTGACCTCTGAATCAACCGAGATCTTGATCTTTAGTTGCGGCACGACAGCCTCGGTGGCGAGACTGTTGGCTCCCGCTGTGATCACCAGTGTGTTTGGTTCAAACGTTGCCTTTTTCATTATCATTGAACCTATTACAACTATTTATCGATTACAAGTTCAAAAAAATAGAAATTTTGATATTTTTATAAGATCTTCTTACACAATAAAAATTAAATATTACAACTTTATCAAAAAATATACGAAAACTATTTATTAGTCTCTATTTGTGTGGATCTTTGCATGTGCCGGGGTTTATCCGTGGACCACCTCGGATCAGATCCGGTTGACAGAAGATTGATTAAAGCTCTTACTTCACAAAAAAGTAATCGTTGAAGTGATAATCTCGACCAAGTGAGATTACGACTCTTCTCGAGATCAAGACCAAGCCTGATCTCAAGGAATGGGGGGGGACGTACCTCAGATCCTTCGAAACGCTTATTCTTTATGCCGGAGTTCGTGAAAATCTGCTAGCCTCTCTCAAATTCGTCAGAACCTCATCCTAGCTCATCTGAAATTCGTGGCTCCCTTCAGAACTCCTCTTATGAGGGTGCTAGGGGTGTATTTATAGGCTTTAAATGTCGTGTTTGTGGATAAGAATGTCATATTTGTGGATAGGGTCGAAGAACAACCTTTATTATCCGTTTAAATGGGTTTTTGGTTGTGTAACAGTTTCCACACATTTAAGGATGACCCCACATGTTTATGGATGACCCCAAGGATTTCTAGAAGCCAATCTTATCGGAAAACACGTCCGGAGCTGACCTGTGCGCGAGTCACTTCGACTAGAAGCCAATCTTATCGGAAAACACGTCCGGAGCTGACCTGTGCGCGAGTCACTTCGACTATCTCGTACATGTCCGAGATAGCTTGGACTGTCTCGGGTATTTTAGTATTAACTCTTTCGTCCGACCTCAGAATGAGATGATTCAAGATGCTTTGGAAATTTGACAAGGATACTCTACAACTTTTATCTTTTGAGATTCTTCAAATTCGAATCATATCATGGCCAAAATGTACGAGACACGATTGGTATCTCGCAGGTGCGAAATAGTCTGGACTATCTCGAGTGTTTTGGCTCTAACTTTCTCGTCCGACCTCGGAATGAGGTGATCCAAGGCGCATTAGAAAGCTCACGAAGATCTTTATAACCTCCCATGGGCAAGAAACCCATGGGATGAGCAAGACACGAGTGGTACTTACTCCTTTGTGGATGAAACGTAACCCCAGGTCGAGTCGCTTCTTCGTTATTGTATCATCCCGTTGATTTGTATGCTTTATCAACTCGCTTCGTGCGTTTGTTAGCTTCTCTATTATATCAGATAATCCTTCTTGATTCGGATAATGACGTTCATCGTCTCGAGCTACGTGCGGGAACCCATAGGAAATTTTTAACGCCTACAGTGTCATGTATTTTTTTGACTTGAATCACATGATTGAACGTCCTTCGGGCTTTAAACAAAATGCCTTGAGACATTAGCAACCTAACTACTAATATATAAGAGGTATAATACTTGTGGTTAGAGAGCATATTCCATGGGCTTATCCTTGGTAACAAACGCGTCTCACCAAAGAAAAGAATTTTGTTAATGCATGGGCTTATGCCCTTCTACTTGTACACACATTACATGAAACTCTGTTACGTCAAGTAATAAAAGATCTGACAATTAGATTGCGGGAAACCTCTACAAACTATACGTGGATATATACTATACTTTTTTTACTAATTCTCCCCGAAATTTCAAGAATAATTCTCTCTAATATTATAGCCAAAGGCCTGCATATTTTGCTAATGGGCTCTCTTTTATTTCTCTTTCCTCTGGCGTAGCCTCATCTCCTCTTTGCTTGCTGTACAGGCTTAAACACACCGACCCACTTCTCAGAATCTATTTTATATCCTTGAACACAATTCTCTCTCTTCTCTCTCTCCTCCCCTCTCAGAGCCAAGAGTTGATAATTGATCAACCCATTTGAATCGCTTCCAAATTTCCCCATTTTAGAATCTGGGTGAGCCTTGATTTGGCATATCTTTGGCTAATTTGGAGTTTTTGTAGTTAGTCCCATAGATTCCCTAAAAATCCCATTTCTTGATAATTAGCTTGAAGGTTAGAACTTTGGTAATCTTTTACATATTCTATCTATTGTGGCCCTGATTGCTGGTATTGGATTTAGATTCTTATATTGATCGCTTTGATTGTTACGTAGTGAAGTTCCCCCCTTTTGGGGATTTGGGATTTAATTGATGTCATCTGTGTGAATGGGTTTTTGAAATTATCTATCTTAGATAGAAAATTGAAGGCATGATCACCAAGATACAGTGCATTATCTGAAGGAGTTTTGTCATATTTTGAATACTATGAGTGGTGTCAGTGGCATTGTTATCTTGATCACTTTGTGATTTCTGGCATTGTGTGTAGATTGAATTGTAATACTAGTTCTAGTTTCTCTTTGAATTATTTATGCTCTATTGGTACTATTAGTTTGCATATTCGTTGCAGTTGAATTCTTTAGCAAGAAAAAATGCAGGAGCAAGATATGAAAATGTGATTCGCAAGCCCCTTATCTTTTCCCTTTTATTGTGCTGAAAATAATCCTCAGCTCTATCTATTTTAAGATTGTACTAATCTTCTTGAGTAGGTTTAAGATATGGAAATGTATAAACCTTTGTCCTTTATCACATTCTTATTTCTTGCCTATACCTATGGTCTGTTCTGTTTAATGAAAATGGAGATGAGAAACTATTTTTTTAAGTCAAATGTTTGGTGCGTGTGGGAAAATACAAGAATGTGATAACTTGCAACTTCCCTATTAATGGTAAAATGGTAGAATGTCCTTAGACGTTTGCTTCATAGGGTTTCTTCAATGAAGAAGAATACAAGTCATTCAATTGCTACCTGTAGTGAATTTTATTCCCATGGTTAAGGACAGATGGATTGTATATAAGGAATGCTTTACAAAGCGTGACTGCAAGTTGCAACTTGGACTAAAATTGTTTCTTAACAAAAGGGAGAAAAGTGAAACCTTCATTTGTTATAAATTTATAATCTTGAGCAATCTTTGAAGTATGGGGATTGACTTGAAAACCTTCATATTACATAGTGGGAACTATTATATTTCTCTTTTTGCAGAAAACTTCCTGCAGTTTGTTTATCAGTAACTATTTCTGAGGTTCTGGTTAATTTTCTCTTCTTTTCCCTTCTGTATTGACTAATTTGAGCTAGATTTAGTCTTCCAGTCGTTTACTTGCTTTACACTCTAACGTTGAATTTACTATAGGTGTTCTCGTCGTTGATAACAACTAACTTGTAGTGTGGCCATATATATGGGCTGACTGTGGCATTTCATGGGAGGTGTAGACGATGAAGAACCACCCTCAAAACGTGTAAAATCATCCTCGCTAGACTTGGGGAGCCTCTCGAATAACTCAACTCTCCCACAGCCCATCATTCCTTTGGGAGGATCAATGGCCAGACCGTTACCATCCCAAGGGAAAGAAGACACTATTGGTACTAGAGGAGTTATTAAAAAAGTTGAATTTGTTAGGATCATAACCAAGACTCTTTATTCTCTTGGCTATGGCAAAAGTGGATCTGCATTAGAGGAAGAATCAGGAATAGACTTACATTCTCCTACAGTGAATCTCTTTAGGAATCATGTGCTTAATGGAAAGTGGGATGAAAGTGTGGTCACTTTGCGAAAAATGGGACTCACAGATGAAAATGTTCTGACGTCTGCGGCTTTTCTAATATTGGAACATAAGTTCTTTGAACTTTTGGAAAGTGACAGAGTCATGGATGCATTGAAGACATTGAGAAATGAGATTACTCCTCTTAATATAAACAAAAAGCGCATCCATGAGCTTTCCAGTTGTATTGTTTCTCCTTCACAGCGCGTCTTACTTGGTTTTGCTAATTTGGGTATTGATACATCAAATTCACGGTTGAAGCTTCTGGAGGAATTGCAGAAATTATTTCCTCCCACTGTTATGATACCTGAGAGGAGGTTAGAGCATTTGGTTGAACAGGCTCTCAATGTGCAACGAGAAGCTTGCTATTTTCACAATTCTCTGGATAAGTCATTATCGTTGTACACCGATCATCAATGTGGGAAAGATCAAATTCCTTCTCGGACAATTCAGGTTAGATATATTGCTGCTTTATTTTACTAAAAAGTTTTTTTTTTCATGATGCATAGATATGTAAAAGCAGTTATTTCTACCGCCAATCTTCTTGCCATCTCAAGCATAATAGCCAATATAGCTATGTACTTCTCTCTTTGAAGTCTCTAAGCCTTGGGTCTTAATCATGGACGAACTACTATCATTTGCTTACTATTAGAAAGTAGGGTAAACATTGTTAGTTAAGTCATGCGAAACAACTGGGTCAAATACAGGATATTTTACAGCAAAAGAAATCAGCCATGATAACTTTTTTGGTAGTTTAAATTGTATTTCTAACCTAATTACACTTGTAATTTTCATATAGGCGTAAGGGTTTGTTTCATCTGTACACAGTTTTTAAGGTTGGCTGCTGGAAAAATGATGAAACCTTTGCTCCTTATTGTGATCATGTGGGCATTAGCAAACGAATAAGACATTAAGGATGGCACAATCAGATTTTCTGCATGTCAAATGCTTGCTTTCTTTTTAACTTCGATTTATGTTTCCTTCTCTTTGATATTTCTCGTTTGATGCCTAATTTTGTGTTTGGCCATGTAAATTTTTTCCTGTTGTAGCTGAGTTTTGTGTCTAATCAAGTACCTTAGTAGATGCTAACTGTCATTCTTTTTATTTTTTCTCGCTCAAGATACAGGTATGACAACTTCCGCTTTGGAAGCTAAAAGAGCTGTGAACTATTGTATTTTGAAGGGCTTTTAGCAGTATATATGATGCTAATTTGCGGTTAGGACACGCAGATTGTCACTATTATGCTTCCGCGTTCAAATCTTAAGTATTCCAATGAGGAGAATAGTGTTAAGATTTGGAATATATAATGTATTAAGGTATTAAGTTTTATAATTCAGTCCATCTATAACGACAATATTAATGTATGAAGCTTGATGTGGAATCTTTCTAATGAAGTATCTTGCAGTTTAATGGCAATCACAAGAAAAGCATCTATCAGAGTGTTGGTTAGTTATGGTGGATAATATGGTACCTTTGCTATCCAATCCTCTATGGAAGAGTTCAATAGTGTAAGCTGGTAAATGGTGGGAAAATTTAGTGTAACAGATCCATAGTAGATAATATTTCACCGTTTAGCATTTAAGTGATTTTATGCATCATCCAGTGTGGTTCTATTTATGATTAAAGGATAAGGATAAAGTCTTGCAGATGTTTTTCTTTGTGACATGATGGTCGATCATACCCTTTTTCCTTGATTTAATAAATGTTCATTATTTATCTGAAGTTCAGCATTTTGTCTATTGAAAAGATCCCTTTACATTTGTTTCGAAGCTTTCCATTAACTAATCTCGTTGTTGAATGGAACAGGTATTGCAGTCACACAAAAATGAAGTTTGGTACCTACAGTTCTCAAATACTGGGAAATATTTAGCATCTTCTTCTAAAGATAAATCTGCAATCATATGGGAGGTAATTCTATTGTTTGGTTGTTTATTGGAAATGTCTTTGTATGCCTTTGTTTGATGATCTTATTGCCAATTGGCCTGTCTCTGCATCTTATTTATAGTCAATTTATAACTGAATTTATGTTGATCATGGACTTCATGGCAATGCTCAGATTTCATGTTTGTTTATGTTATAATTAGCAGAACACTGGCTTTTAGGAGAGGTGCTAACTCTAATATTCACACTTTGTATTTTTCCCACTTGTTTTACCCCTTTAAAAATTGAGCTATTTCTAGCTCCTTTATCTGTTATCTTAACCCTATTTTTCTTTATCTTTCTTATCCAATTTGTGGATCTAATTTCATGGTGAAAGTAGACAGCTGGTAATGATGCATGCGTTCACAGAAAATCTCTTATATATATTAGCTATTTTCTCTTTTCCTTTAATTTTTTAAAATATTAATTATTCTTCTCACCCCCTGTGCATGAATGATATAACTGGAGTACTTTCTTTTCTTTCATTATTAATGAAACTATTTTACATCTATTTTTTTTTAAAGCCCAGCATCCTGTTTGCTTATGCTAAGAAAAAAGCATCATGTCATATTTTAGGTTCACGAAAATGAGAAACTGACATTAAAACACATGCTGATTGGACATCAAAAACCTGTCCTCATGGTTGCCTGGAGCCCTGATGACCGCGAGCTTCTCACCTGTGGTATGGAAGAAGATGTCAGGCGATGGGATGTCGTTTCCGGAGAATGCCTTCACGTATACAAAAAAACTGGTCTCGGTTTTATCTCTTGCGGTTGGTTCCCAGATGGGGCCCGGTTTTTTACCGGCGTAACCGACAAGAGCATTTGCTTATGGGATCTTGCCGGTAAAGAGGTAGAAAATTGGAAAGGGCAGAGAGCAATTAAGACTTCAGACATGGCCATCACTAATGACGGAAAAAGGATCATAAGCATGTGTAAGGAAGCTACTATTCTTTTACTTGATAGGGAAGCAAAGCTTGAGAAAGTAATTGAAGAGGAGCAGACGGTTACTTCCTTTTCTGTGTCAGGAGATGATAGGTTTTTGCTAGTGAATCTTGTGAATCAGGAGATCCATCTCTGGAGCATTGCAGATGATCCACAGCTTGTTATGAGATATAAAGGTCATAAGCGCAGTAGGTTCTTGATAAGATCTTGTTTTGGAGGGTGTGAGCAGGCTTTTATAGCTAGTGGAAGTGAAGATTCACAGGTACAGATTGAAAATAGTTCATTTTCATTTTGTTTTTGTTCCCTTCTATGATTTTTGATTTAGTTGTTGAATTTATCAAAATAGCGCTGGGAAAAATTTTCTTCAGTAATATGTTCTTTTACGATCTTAAATGGAAAGAGCATAGTTAAAAACCACTAGGGAGCTTACAAAATTCAAGGAAAATATTCTAATTGTAGGATTTATTGAAAGCAGGTGCCTTTAAGTTGTAGTTTTGTCACAGGATTTTTTGTTTGTGCCTTTGAAAGCTGCAACTCATGTTTCTTTCTATTTATTTTTAAAATTTTAGTAGAACTCTCTCAATACAAATTTATATATCAAGATATATTTTTTTAAATCTTAGATTGATGTTGCATTGATAAGATGGTGCTTGCTTAGGATAACAAACTAATGAAATGAATCATGCATGTTGTATTTTAATAATTCACTTGTTCTCTTCCTCTGCCTAGAATTTTAACTAGTTTGGATCCAATGATGAAAATATGTATTGTAGTCCAAATAAACCTTAAGCTTTCTAATTCCTCTAAAGTATCTTGGGTCACAGTAAACCATCAATTACTTATTTAAGTACACAGCCTGAATTTATGTCAGATAATCAGAGTCAAAATTTATTACCTGTACATCTAAATAGATCCCTACTATGTTTCAGTTACCACCCTGCTTTCTGTTGTTCCTGTTTCTCTGGCCGGCCCCCCCCCCCCACTTCTGAAATTGAACATGCCGCTTTTTCTTTTCTCGCTTAGTTTCTTATTTTGTGTGTGTTCACTGCTGTGCATGTGCATGCTTTGCTTGTGGTGTGTGCTTGTCAGCAAGCCTTCTTGTTTTCTTCTGTTCAATAACCTTCAGAATAATTTTTATTCGTTTAATAAGCAACAATTTCTTAAGTTGTGCCTCTTTTATGACCGTGAATGGATTTCATGTGTGAAGAAGAGCGTTTAGGGTACGGTAAGAGAAACGCCTACGGATCGCATGAAGCAGATCATCAACGCTCATTTGCTTTTATCATCGTCGTCGTCATCATCATTATTAATTTTTTATCCCACAATGCGGGCAACTTGTATAAAAGTATTTTGTTGGTCTAATTTTACCTAACTTAATCTCTCACTTTTAATTTGTGATCTAATTTGTTGTGGTGTTGGGTTGCCAAATTGGTGATACAAGAAATAAGTTAAGAGCTATAAATGACTGATTGATTTCATGAGTCTGATCCTTTTCATTGTGTTTAGCTCTATTGGTTTGCCTTTTCTTAATAAATCTTAAGATTTCTTGACAGATTCATTTGTCGTTTTTGAAGATTAGTATATCAATTTGAAATCTGCAGTTTAAATTTTGTTTTTATAGTTTGATGTCATTGTGTTGCGAATGATGATTATTTGTAGTTAGTTATAATTGTCATCTATATTTCTTTAAATGTACGAACTTCAGTGCTTTCTTTTTTGTAGTAAAAGGTGACAGTTCCAATTATGAAATCTTTAACATGGTATGTCTTCCTGTGTGTGTCTGTATATCTCATACATGCTCACAAATATGCATGTATAGTAATTGAAATACCCTAGTGAATGTTCCATGTTTTCAAATACCAATCCGATTTACTCCATACCACTGTTTTAAATATCGGCCGATAATCGATATTATCGGTCGAGTTATCGGATTTGGGAGCTCTCCGCTAGGATAAATTGGATTTTTAATCGGTTATCGTTTTTGTAGGTTTATCGGCGTTATCGGCACTTATCGGCCGATAAGTAAGACTTTTTTATCGGGATTATCGGGATTATCGGCCCATTTTGACTAACATTATATTTTTTTAAGGCTATGATGCAACTTTCGTTTTTTACAATTTGTTAGTGATTCTAAACATGATGATTTACATTTTGGTATGTTTATATTTCATTAAGCATGATTAGGTTACATTTTTTAATTGTTATATTATATATACACATCATCCAATATATCACTCCGATAAATACTACTTATCCCCGATATATCCCCGATTTCCGCTATCCGATAAGGATTTTGACCGTCCGATAAATCCCTGATAACCGATATTTAAAACCTTGCTCCATACTACGCACTGTAAAGGAACGATCTCGTTAGCAAACTGGTACTGCCAGCCAAAGCATAACTAGGTTTGAGCTCTGTGGTTCTGTCATATATTTAATTGTTTACCTCCCCAAAGGAAATTAGGTGCATGTATGTTTACTCGTTTTTTGTTGCATTCCGTGTAGATGTTTGAGATTATTATATATACTAATAATATATACTATATATATATATAAGTTATCATATATATATATATATATATATATATATATATATGAGAATATGGGTATGCTTGGTACGAAGCACAAAAAATATGCTTGTTTGAGGTGTCCATCTCCCTGCACTATTCAAGATGTTGGAGCACATATTCACCATGTGGTAATGAGTGATGGGAATGTGACACATTGCACTCCAGGCACAAAATTTATGCCTTGGTACCAAGCATACCTATCTCTCCTTTCCTCTCTCTCTCTCATCTCTCTCTACTATATATATAATATATATATATATATATATATAGCATTTTAGTGCAGAATCACACTCTCTTGTAGAGATGTCACAATATAAGAAAGTAGAAAACGCAATTGATTTTTTTTACCTCAAATGGTGATCTATCTGTCTCTCTGTCTTCTGCTTATTGGATTGTCTTGAATGGAATTATTTATTGCTGCTTCCATCTTGCTTGAAGTTCTTGTTATGATCCCCATCCACTGTCTGAGTTGAGGCCGAGATAATGGGTCTTTTGGTAGAGTTAAGTTTAGTGGAACCATCAATGAGTTTCTATTATAGTTGGCATTATAAGGACAAGATGATGAATGCACTCATAATCGTCCTTGTGTAGTTGTGCGTTCATTTTTCTCTTTGCATATACCTAGTAAAAGATGATATCTGTCTTGTGTGGATTAATATCTAGCATCATTTATCTGATACTTCAAAACTAAGCTCTTGTGTGTACTAACATCTAACGTCATTATCCGATACTTCAAATCTAAACAGTAAACTAACCCTTGTCCCTAATTCTTTTTTATGTTTTTTAATGTGAAATTGAGAATCCATTTTGTCTCAGGTATATATATGGCATCGAGCCACTGGGGATCTCATAGAGGCTCTACCAGGCCACACCGGAGCAGTAAACTGTGTCAGCTGGAATCCAAAGAACCCTCACATGCTTGCATCAGCCAGCGACGACCACACCATCAGAATCTGGGGTCTCAATACTATCAACAACAACAAACTGAAGCGCAAGGAAGCTTACAGCAATGGCGTCAGCCATCAGTGCAACGGGAATAGCAAGTGCTAGAGATATCATATCTCTGGGGGAGGGGGGATATTTCTTAAAATTGCCCTTTTCCCTTGATCAGTTCTCCAGTTGTTTTTGTAAATAAATCCTTATCCTTTGTTCTCTCTTTTACCTTTCTTTTCTTCTACCTTGGAAGCAAAACTTTGTAGGATGTTTGAATGTTGAAATATGCTTATAGACCATTGAACTTGATTATTTTGTTTGGTTTACTGGTTTTATCATCTTTCCCAAAAACAAAGGCAGGATGAGTTTGGTTCTGCTGCGCAGCTGAGAAGTGAATGCAAGCCAAACGAACATATTTGCTTGAACAGGTTTGATTATGTAGGGTCCAAATCTGTTGGAGGGATGGGATATTATGAAATTGATTGCTGGTAAATGTCGTATGGTTAATTATCAATTAGATTGTTCCATCACTCTAATGCTTTACGTCGATTGACATGGTAGGTTTCGTTCATGCGACATCATAATAAAAGGTCATGATCATTCGACACAAATGATTTCTTCCTATGAACATGAATATTTGTGACGTGTCAGTAACTTTTATTGGATAATTATATTGCATTTAATATATTATTCTTGAAATATTAACTTGTAACATATTGAGAAAACTTAATGCTTAAAAATAAATGAAAATATGCAATGCAAATTTGACAGAAAGCATTCGAAGTGATTAGTGATCAAATTAGTGTTTGATTACATAATCGATAATCCAAACAATTAAAAATCTAAAGATACGAACAATCAATTAAGAAATAAATAAAATATGTCGAAGTCGTGATGATACTCGCAATATGGTTCACGTTAGAAGTCGTTGTTGTATCAGCGCATGGACACGTTCAGTTGTTTTTTTCTTTTTTTCCCTCCCTTTCAGAAATTCTAAAGTTGCCTTCTGATCTTCAGCCGATTTTGATTAATATTTTGGGGATGGGATGATTGTTTGTGGTATGGGAAGGCTAATGGGCTGTTTGTTTCACCCTTTTATAGAAAAGGATTAGTATTTGGGGTCTGACAGTGGCAAAAGTGTAATTTATGAAATCTTTGTGAATCCTAATCTATAGTTTGGCTGGGGAAAAAATTTATGGATTACGAAATCCTTAAAGTTGCTACAATCTGCGTTTTTTCAAGAAACCCAAATGGGGGGGGAGGATTTGGGCGAGAAATCTGACATCTTTCTGGGGTTTTCGTTTTCTGATTCCTAATCCTCTCGATTTCGAACCCTAGCTCTGGAATCACAACTGGGCATTTCTTCTCCCGCCTCTCCCAAGTTCCTTCGCGCCTCCTCTCTCGTTGTTCTTCGATATTATTTGGGTTTCGGTTTGTGGATTTGCCCTAGATTTTGGGCTCGGCTTCTCCCGCGATCCGCTGTTCTTCGATATTATTCTTGGTTGGTTGGGTTTGTTGGTAACGACATCAATTTCTGGGTTTGCTGGCTGCTCTTCTCCCGCTGATCTTTGATATTGTTGTTGGGTTCTTCGGTTTGTGGATTTGCCCTAGATTTTGGGCTCGGCTTCTCCCGCGATCCGCTGTTCTTCGATATTGTTCTTGGTTGGTGGGGTTTGTTGGTAACGACATCAATTTCTGGGTTTGCTGGCTGTTCTTCTCCTGCTGATCTTTGATATTGTTGTTGGGTTCTTCGGTTTGCCGGTTGTTCCGTTCGGTGGGGTTTGTCGGTGATGACATCAATTTCTGAATTATTCCCTTCGCAACAGCTTGGCATCTGCAGGTATAAATCAATTTAACCCTTTTAATGTGATTATTTAATTGTGCTTGCTCTGATTAAAGTAACATTGGTAGTGGAATTATTGAATTTGGTATATGTTTAATTATTGAAACAAGGGTATTGTTCGGTGGTTGTTTCATTTGGTATATAGTTTATTACTGATTTTATTAGAATTATTTGTTAGTGGGGTTTCATTCGCAATTGCTTGGCATCTATTTGTCAGTGGGGTTTTGGTATATAGTTGATTAGTGAGCTTTGGTTCTCTGGGCTTGTTGTTGTTGTATTCCTTCAAATGACTAAACCATGGAATGAAAACCTTAATTATATTTGTTTGATCAGCGTGCATGCTTAGGGTGCAAAATATGAAATAGTTGTTTCACTACTTTATATATATTTGTGGATATGTAGATATATGGTTTTACGATTTTAATATTTTTATTAGTTATTTAATTATCTTTAGTTTCCAAACAATATTACTGTTAAGTTGTAAATATATGCTAATTTTACAATGGATTTAGATGGATAACGTAGATGAAGAACAATTGAAGAGGATGTGTGCTAATACAGCAAATTGAAGAGCTTGGGAATTTTATTATTGCTGAAAAATGAGAATGATGGGATTATTTGTGAGGCCTCAAGGTGAATTTATAGCCACCATGCCCCTGAAATAGCCGTTGCTACAGTGATTTGCCTAAGAATATTGAAATCTGTGTTTTTAGATCTGGAAATAGCCGTTGCTACAGTGTTTGCTGCTTGAAATCTGATTTTGGGGGCTTAAATCTGTTGCTATAGTGATTTTTAAATGTAAATTGAGATAGCCGTTGCTACAGTAACGATCCCAAGAAAAATATTCTTCTTGAACCAAACATGGTATTAGGAATTGGACCAATTCTATAAAAGTGAGATTACTAATCCTTTGGGTGAAACAAACATTGAAAGCCAAAAAAAGTGGGATTCCATAAAACTAAAACTTGTCCATAAATTTTTTATGGATTAGGTTGGAATCCATAAATTAAATAGGATTCCTAATACTATTCCTAGCCCTTGGTGAAACAAACAGCCCCTAAGGCGCTTACCTGTTTTATTCACTATTGATAAAGGTACATAAGCGAATTTTTCAAATCCGTTCAGGTATATGTAATGAAAATTGTTTTGATCCTTAAATGTATTCAAGGTCAATTTTAATGATCAAGAGATCTAAGCTTAACTTCTATGTGAACACATTAGTAAACCATTACTTGAGAAATTTATTACATTTAAATAGAGATGGTCATGAGCCGAGCTGGTTTAAGCCAGTGAACAAGCTTATCGGGTTTATGGCTAGTCCGATTTTAACCTCGGTCTGACTGGTCATAGTGAATCAGGCCTACCTCTATGATCTTGCGCATAGGTCTAGGCCAGGCTTGACCCATGACCTGCCTAAGTTCAGGCGAGACTTAATCTGCCCACAACACATGGATAGCTCGTGGGCCCACAATTTTTTTTTTTTTTCTATTTTTTTCTATTTTAGACTTGTTATGGTGTGTTCAGTCGCTAAAGTACGACCATTTGCTAGCTACGGACATGTGTCCCCCTTCATGTAGCGCTCAATCCAAATTGACGATCAAAACTGTCAAGGATCCCGACGTAGCCGATTCGTCGAGTCGACATCTCCTTATGTCAACACGAATGGCGGTACTTGCCAGTCATCTTGTCGAAGACGAACGAGCTCACTCGACTAGTTATTCAACGCCTCACGAGGTCAACTCGTAAGGCGTTACTTCTCGACGAAGCTAAAAGACGACTTCAGCCTCGAGTCTCTCCCACTGACAGCACGTCGGCATCGCATTTAATGCTTAGCAGGCGTATCATACCTCTAGCTCCGATAGTCTTCATGACTCATCGAACCACGTCAACACCGTCATGCCTCCAATCACGTCTCATTTAATGCTGAGGTGATCTCTTCTCTATTCGTCGATCGATGCGTGTAAAATAGGTGCTGACGCAACCGCCATCCCATACATCTTCACTGCATTCTGTGCTCGGTCGAAGTGCCTATTCCACCCTTCCATCACCACTATAAATAGAAGTACAATTCTCAACATAATGAGCTAGCAGCTTATAAATAGATGCACAATTCTCATCATAATAAGACTTTTGAACTTGACCTTCATTCTGACTTTTTAGAATATCTGCTAATTATACTGCACTACACACAAGAACTAACACAATTCTTCATTTCCCCACTCAAGTTCATCAGGTGACTTGATCGTCGCAAGTACAACAAGAGAACCAAGCCCCGTTCTCTCACAAGTTTCTATTTTGTGCAAGCTAAAAACTAAACTACCCAAAACATATTCGACACCGCTCATCAATCCCATCCCCAAAATATTTGACTGTTTGGTTAGCCATCATAACAAGACTATATTAAATTTGTTTTTATATTTATAAAATTAAATTAAGTTTATTTTTTTAACTATTTTAAACTTTTTATTTTAAATGAGAAATGCGATACACTACACAAACATAAACATCACAAAAGAAACATCACCCACACACAGATCACTTTTTAGCATCCCCTGGTCTAATCCCTCGTGCGCAATTCTGGCAGATATGAAAATCGATTAATTATACAATGCATACAGTTTTCATAATAAAGACTCTGATCATGTAACATATTATTACTCTTATTTTTATTCAAAATAGATTTAACATATTATTACTCCTATTTTTATTCAAAACAGATAACATTGTCATCTATAGGATTTTTTTTAATAAACCATCTCACATTCTAAACTTTTGTACTGCTATTTAAATCAAGAATAATTTTTCAAAACAGCCCCATTTAGAGTTTTTTTTTCAAAATCAACCGGTTTTTTTTTTATTTATCAAAACCGACCCGATTTTGTGATTAACCGGTTAATCACCTTCCTAAATAGTCGGGGTTGACAACCCCGACTATTTAGGACCTTAATTTTTAGTGTAAGGCCTCTAATTAGGGTTTAATACCCTCCTAAATAGTCGGGGTTAGCAACCCCGACTATTTAGAATGGTAATCACAAAATCAGGTCGGTTTTGATAAATAAAGAAAAAACCGGTCGATTTTGAAAAATAAAACTCTAAAAAGGTCTGTTTTGAAAAATTGTTCTTAAATCAAAACTCGAGGAAGAAAAATGAAAGGAGAGAGATTTAGCAAAATATGATAAATTTTGTCAACTAATTAACATTTTCCTCCCATAAAAAGGACTGTTCAATGGCAAAAATTACAGAAGATTTGACTGAATGAACCAGCTCCTAAGAAAACAATCACAAGAGTAAAAGCTCCAGCAACAGCAGCAGCCAAAGCTATGAGAAGACTACTTAGATCTCTGCCTCATCTTTCGGCGCTTCCTCTTGAGCCTCCTCATCCTCTTCTTCTTCCACTGAAATATAAAATAAATTATATTAAATTATGAACAATAACAATTTTAACAAATTAAAATCGACAAATTCAATATGCGTTGAAAAGAAGGAATTTTCAAAACAAACTCAAACCAAGTTCTAATTTTCAAAATCGACTCACTTTTTTACAAAAATCGACATATTTTTTACCACGTCAGCTTAATCTCATTTCTTAATTAGTCGGTGTTACCAACCCGACCATTTAGGACATAAAAAATCGGATTTAAGACTTCTAATTAGGGTTTAACAACCTCCCAAACAGTTGGGTTGCCAATCTCCTAAACAATCGGGGTTACCAACCTCCTAAACAATCGGGGTTACCAACCTCCTAAATAGTTGAGTTGCCAACCCGAATGTTTAGGAATAGGATTAAGCTGACGTGACAAAAAGTGAATAGATTTTTGTAAAAAAAAATGAGTCGGTTTTGAAAAAATTAAAAATTCAATGTTGTATAAATTACTCAGATATTGAACTTATCTTCTCATTGGCACACAAGTACCTCCGAAGTCTGACATGCGTTGACAACGTTCACATATCATCATTGTATTTATAAAATAAAATAATTAACTTCATAAAATCATACGACAAACATAAAATTAATTTGGCAACAATTGGTTTGGATCAGAGTTTGGTGAGGGTATCAGTCACATAAAATCAGAAACACGGACCAATTTATTTCCTCATCATTCCAAACATAAACATTAAGTAGATTTCTCATATTATACCTTAATATCTATCATATTCATATTAGGCCCCCAATTCTTGATCTTAGTAAATTACGCCACTCAATCATCATAATTGCTCGGAACTTAATGTTATAATGGAATTGGGAAAGGTGCTAAAGTGAAAATAGGTTATGACTTAAAGCCTAAAATAAGAAAAACACATTAAATAATTATAATTACAATTACAAATTAACCATAGAACTGTAGGATCAGAGGTTGGTTAAGGGAATCAATCACTTAGAATCAGAAACACGGACCAATTAATATCCTCATCATCTCCAAAGAAAATTTATTTCTTTAAGTTTCTATTATTGTTTTTATTAAAATAAAAAAATTGCTAGCATCATTTAAATTAATAAATATGAATAATGAAAGCTCGTAAAATGGAGATCATCAGAGACTTAAATACAAAGAATCACTGAACAAGGCCTAAGCCATCATATTGTTGCAGTTTTTTTCTCATCACTTGATCCCCATTACATACAATAAAACTTATGAAAATATTCCTACATTAATTAAGTTAATTAATAAAAAAATTAAATGGCTAATGAAATGGAGATCTAACCTTGGCCCTCATGATTTCTTATCTTCTCCTGAACAGCGGCTACGAATTAGGACTGATGAAAAGTCGAGAGATGCATTCGGGCATTTATAGAGCTAGGGTTTCGAACAATCCAGAATGAAACCCTAGATTCAGAGAGGATACAAGGGCATTTATGGCATTTGGACTGCTTATTTGTTATAGCATGTAATCATGACCGTCAAATTTTTTGATTGGTCAGGACTAGCCTTACTTTTTTGTTAACGGGTCGGTTTCGGGTCCAACCCGAGTCAGTAACTGGATCTGGCTCAGCTCACTCTTCTTGGGGAACAGGCAAGGGGTGGAGAGGAACCAAATAATTACAAATAGCCCGTTCATTGTTTGTGAATTTGTTTGGTTATATTCAATTCCATAGTTGATTTACTACTAAATAACTAATTTTTGGTATTTAAATTTATAAATAAATAGAAGAGAAAATCACTTCAATGTCCCAAAACCCAACTTCTATTGTGCCCCAGCCCCCCTTACTTTCCCTAATGTGCTGCAGCCCCTCCTTTTAAAAAAAATTACGTCCAGACCCCTCCATGTCCAAAAAGATTTTGTCCTCCCTTCACCTCCGTCCTCCTCCTCCTTTGCCAGTCCCCCTTTGCCCTTCCCCTGCGCCGTTTCCCTCCGCCCCACGCCGGCCTCCCTTCCCTCCCACATGCCGCCTCCCCCCTCTCCCTACCCCCATGCTGCTCCGGTCGTCGGAGCGCCTTCCCAAGCGTCATCGCATCCCTCCCCGCTCGCCTCCTCCCCCCCTCCCCCGCTCCCTCCACCTAACCACCTCCCTCGCGCCTCCCCCTGCCTGCCCGCCGCTGCACCCCCCCCCCCCCCGCCGCCCCGCAGCCTCGGCTCTCGATCCGCTCGGCACCCCCTGCCCCTTCCTCCCTCCCTCCCCCCCTCCCCTCGCCGCCGCCCTCCCTCTCCGCCTTCCCCCCCCCGGCCCGCCCTCACCCCGCCTCCTCCTGCCTCCGGTTCCCCCTCTGTCCTCTCCCCCGCTCCGTCGTCAGCGCCGTCACGAGGAACTTCACATGGGCACATTAGTAAAAGTTAACATGTTAGCTGTAAGAGTTAACAGGTTAGCTGCAAAGAGTTAACATGTTACCTGCAAAAGTTAACATCCGCTGGCATGAGAAAGAGGAGGGTAAATTTGGGATTTACGCCATCTGATATGTCTAATCATGAGTTGACATGTCCAATCAACTGCTGGCATGTGCTGGAATCATGATGGAGGGGCCTTGGGCACATTTTTTCAAAAAAAGGGCTAAAGCACATAAAAAATATAGGAGGGGTTGGGGCACATTGAAAGTTCAAATTTGTGGCCTAGAAGCAATTTTCCCTAAATAGAATCTAACTAGATATATATTCAGTTCGTTTACTTATCAAATATTTGTTTAAAATTTGGTCACTTATGATTATATTATTACACACATGATATTATATTTTTAGCCTTCCTATATTTTCTACTTAAATTCTTTATACTAATTTTCAGAGACTTAGATCATTTTTTACCAAAATATTCAAACTTAATATATATACATCATAACTATAAAGTAATTTTCAAGTTAAATTACATTATTTAGCAAAATGAATGTACTGTGCGTTTCGATGAATATTTGTCAAATATCTAGCATTTGAATTTGGATTTGAAAAACTCCAGAAATAGATATATGAACAATGTTCAATATTTTTCCTAATCCATTCTATCAGTTTTCCTTACAACCATATAAATACTTGCGTTAGTGGTTTTAACAAATGTCATATCCAATCCAAAATCCTTTTGCAAGCCCTAATTACTAGCTGATCAAAAAGAAGTATTTCTAGATGTATCAACCACATAAACATATACACACATGATGAAGTCCCATACCTATCGCAACTATGAAGATACCAAAAACTTCAGCTTGTGCATCTGCAACTTCTGAAACTTTCAGCATGCGCTCCTAAAACTTTCGATGGACTTATTTCGCAACTGGTGAAATTTCAGGATTTTACATAACACATTTGAAATGCCAGCCACCATGTACAAACATCTTGTTCTTATTCAACGATGCGCTAATATCCACAACATATGCTGAACATAAGTGTATAACATATGAGAAAATACTAAAATGGTTGTAAACTTTTTTCTTTACATATATCACAACACGCGATACTTGAACACAAATCCACTGAAAAAACGCAGCACTCGTTTTCGGATCTTCCCAATTCACACCAAAATTGTTTGGATAGGTTCAAGTGAGGTCATCCTCATCTAAAGCTTCTTCTTCTTCTTGCTTCCCTTCTACCTTGATATCCTTCAAATCCCCTGTTGGTAATTTCCTGGCGAGCCTAATGATCTGCGCTCATGCAACACAGTCCACAAGCACTATAAATAAGATATCAACAGCAAACTGAAAAAACAGTAAAATAAATTTTGAAAGTAAGACAATCAGCAGGGGAAGAGGATGTTGTTTATGGAGCCTGATTTAACCCCGGAACAAAATTTAGCTTGCTGCTTGTGAGGTGTGAATAATTTTGTAAGCTCGCCCCTGTAGGCAGAAACCCTTGGCGTGTGCCATGAATATGCATCTCAATCGTCTATTGTGTTGTATCCAAAGGAGATAAAAATAGAAATGACAGAAAGGTGAGATTTTTGTTTGAGAGATTAAATCTCTATCAATCATTAGCCGACCCGTGAGCTGGTTATACTCCACACACATAGGTAATCACATTGATTGTGGAACCTTATTAAAGCCTATATTTCTATGATTTTTTTCGCAGTTTTCTTCCTTCTTTCTTTCATCTATCTATGGTGTTATTCCGCGGTATTGCTAACAAGCAGAAATCAAGCCCCAACCTATTATATTTTGTTCATTTGTTAAGGATGTAAACTACACAGCAAGACAGAAGGATGAAAAACCATTTCAATTTTTATGAAGCACAAAACCATCCATTCTGGTTCTACATTTGTTCGAATAAAATGTTTAGCTAATTCCATGCGTCTAACCAAAAAATCCTTTCTTCTTCGAATTTTTCTATCTTCCCATTCGTTTCCATGAAGCATGGGCATGCATACATGTGTGCTATATACACAGTAAGCAGAGAGCGAATAGCTTGGACATAATTACCGCATGATCAAGATGAGAAATGTTGCTTGACTGAGCAACGCGCTTGATTTCTTCGATGTCACCTTCCTCATAAGCAGATAGCAGTTTGATCGCACAACGACTCTGATCGCTATTTAGAAAGCCGGCAATCCTGAAGGAAGATATCAAATCTGATTGGCTGAGTCCAATGATATCAAACAACCAATGTCAAAGACTACATTAAAATGATAAAAGAACCAAGAGGGCTGTGTAATGAGATCAGTAGAATAGACAACCAATGTCAAAGACTATATGAAAATCATAAAAGAACCAAGAGGGCTGTCTAATGAGATCTGTAGAATAGAACAGTTTCCAATTTAATCAAAATGTCTCATTCAAATTGAGCAAAACTATTATGAGAAGGAAAAAACCTATTCCTGTATCATACAATATAAATATGTGATTGCTTAATGTGTAACTTACTGAGAACAGTCATTGTAGCATTTCTGAGCTTGGTTGAAATCATGTGCATAAAGGTAAATTATGATTGCACTAAGGTAAGCCTGCATAAGCAACAGATTCACATGAACAAAATGAAAGGGCAGAAATTAGATTGAGTATAAAAGTTCCAAAAACTAAATGTGCAACGACAGAGAGGTGCAGATGTGCATAGGAGATAAACGAGTTACAATCCATAAAAAGAAAATTTACTACCATATTCTGAAGTTAGCTATAAATCAAACTGCTAAGTTAAGCAAACACGCTTATCTGACAACTTGCAAGCTTGACGTACCCATCCAAAATTAAATAAGTAATAGCATCCCTTTGAATATACCAAGTAATTCGAAAATTAAATAAGTAACAATATCCATTGAAATTCACTAGATAGCAGCAACTCCAAGTCAAGAGATAGATATTGATTTTTTTTTGTGTGTGTGTTTGCGCGCGCGCTAATTTTAGTTGATCATCCAGTTTTCATTTTTTTTCTTTAGGTTCCCTTATGATCTTATACTTGTATTTTTCTTTTCATTTTCGAAGTTATCCACCTAGATCATCCAGTTTTCAGTTTTCTGTCTAGTGCAGTTGCTTACTTGAAATTTTTATATCAGAAAATGATAGATATAAATTTAACAAGTTGTTGCTCGAAACAACTCATTTCACTGGAAAATAACAGCAACGGAGATATATATCTGCTTTGCAGCTGCATAAACAAAGATGTATATGACAAGATATGATGGTTAAAAGAAAAAATTAGTACCTTGCATTGGCTGTTTACAGCATTGCATTTATCAGCAGCAAGGCCCAATCTTAACATAAATGTTGAAGCATCCGCATATCTGGAATAGTGGCAGTGTGCATTTAATTAGCATGGAAAGATTTAACAAGAAGAGAATGTAGAGTGACTACTGGTAATATATTAATCTTGAAACATATTTTAACTAGTATAGGATGGAACTGAACCCATCAAAGCCGTTATTTAATTAACTTAAATTCAAGTTGTTTCATTCTATGTGCAAGTATTCATATACACTTGCATTAATTTGTATGCATGCCAATGGTCTAGGTCATAGCTAACATTGTGGATCTACAAGTTAGAAGTACTCAGTTGGCATGTGGGTCAACATTTTTGTGTACCGAGATATGCTTGAATGCATACCTAAACTAATATACATGTCAAATATAACTGAGAACTGGCTTATATAGCGGGAAAAGCAGCCTGAACTAATGAATAAGGGAACACATGACTATATAGTATTCAGTGACAGACTAAACTTTGTGATTGCACTTGGACTGAGCGTCCACCTCTAATTCTTGACTTTGTTTTACTTTGAACTATATAATAAGGACTTTGTCTTACTTCTCAAGTTTAATATATATACTGGTGGTAGCACGATATAAATCAAAAGCCATTTGCTCCTTTCCCTCTTCTTCGAGAATTTCACATGCGTCATTATACAAGCGAACAGCTTCTTCAGGTTCAACATCTTCAAGAGCACTGTAATATATGCCAAAACCAATTTAAGTCCCAAAATTAACTTCAAATGTGGCTATTAATTGTGATAGATATTGTAAACAAACACACCGTGCACCCTTTGCAAGAGCATCAGAAGCAGGTTGTGCTCTTCCACACTCATTGTAGAGTTCAGCTGCTCTTCTGTAATGGTCAGAAACTTCGTTCCAGCGTCCAAGATCCTTTGCTAGAGCAGCAGCAGACTCCATATGTTTGGCAGCATCCCAAGGACTATTAAGTTTGTCAAGGATACAATGACCAAATTATTTTAGACTAATATTTGACAATAATTTGAAGAACCCAAAGTACAAAAGGATACGATGAGATCATCTCTTGTCCTTTGGAGGCCTTCTCGAATGCTATTTTAGCTTTTTCATTGTCCCGTAAAATCCTATAATTAATAGCTTCAGCAAAAACAAAAGTATTAATACTCAAAAGACTGATGTTTAATTGATAGATAAAAGAAACCAAATAATTACCTGCTTGCTCATACAAGACAGTAGCAGCTTTCCAGTCTGCAGTCCATCTAGTAAAACTGAGTTTCGTTCTGATGGTACAAGCAGAAAATGAGTTTAATGTTGTGAGAGAAAGTCTTTAACAAGTTTTACTCCCTATTACTCCTCTTGTAGTGTTCTCTTTATGTCACAAGGTAGTTTCATACAAAAGACAAGAAAATTAATATTATGCTTCATTTATGATAATATGAAATGTTTAGTTTTTTAAAGAGTTCTAGTACTGTTTGCTTCGGGAACAATTTTCTTTGCATCTTCCATTAAATCGTTTAAAAGAAACAAAAGAATAAGCTTTACACGTATAACTCTCTTCTTTACAAAGAAAACAAAATTGTGCTCCCTAGTAACACGTACAGAAACTCCTACGTAGTAGCTTCTGCTTGCGTGGGATTCTTTGCCTGCGCCAAAGATGCGTTATCCGTGAACCACCGAGCAACGTTTCCAAGTTAGATACGAAGAAGGTTTAAGGTTAATATTTCTACGGGGAAACAAGAACCGAAGTAAGTGTCTTAGCAAGGTAAGACAAGTACTCTTGATCAAGTCTAAGCTCGAACTCAAGGAAACACCAAAGACTCTTTGAGAATGCTCGGGAGTGGATGAAGAGCTCTCTCTTGCTCTCAAAGTTCGCCAAATGCCAGCTTGGTACCCTGCACAAGTGTGTAGGGGAGTATATATAGGGGTAGGAGACCATAACCACCGAAAAGAATGCAAACAGCCCCTTGTCCATTGTCTCATGCTTGCGAGACAGTGTCCACTGTCTCGGCCAAAGGGGACAACGGCAGTGGTTTTGTAACTGCTCCCCCACTACTTTAAAGTGCGTTAAATGGTGCTTTTTTCGAGGGTAGTGGGCATGTTTCCAAGATGTAATTGCTCATGCACATAAGTGGACTTCCTCACGTGATTATGGAGTCAGGTAGGTCCCACAAAACCGTCAGAAAACTTGGGAGACTGTCTCACAGTTGGTGAGACAACCATTACTGTCTCGCATATGCGAGACAGTCCACACTGTCTCACCAACAGTGAGACAACTCCAAGTCCTTTTTGGTTCGACTCTTTTGCTTTCCTTCGTGTTGGATGATTTCCTTTGACTTCGATGATGACTTTTTTCATCTTCTCTCTGACTTGAGCTAGGTTTGTGATCCATAGGCAATTTTGGATGCCTACAACTACTTAGTTGAGAGGAAAAGAACAATGAGTCGCTCAAATGTGCAACAAGAGCAACAAATTATTTGAGTATTGGTTCCATTTATGTTTAGGCTTATTTGCACTTTAATACAGAAACATTCCAGCCTCTTTTAAGTTTGGTATCCTGCAGTTTTCGTTGACAATTTAATTGCCAAAAGCTTCCAAATTGACATTAATCAGTAATGTAACAATTTGAAATCTCAAGACCCTAACTTTGTCGCTCACTTCCCTAAACTCAAAAATACTGAAATTTGGTAAGAAAATTTGTTTCTCATTCCCTTTTTCTATGTTGATATTCTCAAACAAAATTGACATCAACTTGTTTGAACTTCGGGGTATCAAATTGTCAAAACAGAACTTCAGCGAATTAAATTTATAAAGATTAAAACTTTGGATAGCAAAGTGCAAACTAACCCTTTCTATTCATAGAAACTCTCACTAACAATGATAACTACCATAATTTTTTGCAGTGAATTGAAGCAATTACACATGTTTCTCAATTGCCAGCCATGGATCTGCACTAAATAAGACCAAATCTCAATGGTGCACATCGGGAGTTCAAGGTGTTTATCTCAATTTCAATGAAATAGGAATATAGATCCAGACATAGATCAAATCGAACACAAGTAAGGATTTTGCAAAGTTTTTTTTCTTTTCTCGTTAAAGAATGACATTCTAATTCCCAACCTTATCATAATTTCATTTGCAAGGCTTAGGATTTTCACTTCGAATTCGTAATTCTCATTCAAGTTAGGGTTTTGATAGTTCAGATTGATCAGCAAGGAGATTCAAAAAGTAACTGCGACTGAATAAATAAAACAAATCATTAATAAATGTTAGGTTTTGTCGAGATGAGAATAAAGCGAAGTCATCGATAATTGGGATGAGAAATTGACGAGGGGATGGAAAAAAGGGGAGCTCACAATTTGTCGGCTTTGATCATGAGTTTGTCGGGATCGGTCTTCGCCATGGCTGAACAAGCTCCCCTTCTTCTACTTCCTCTTCTCACTGTTCTTCGGAGCTCAGATTTAATGATATTTTCTGGTCGTTAGATTGTTGAAATCGGATCTCTTCTGTTTTTTCAGATCGACCCCGGGGAATTAGTTGTTAGCATTCGTCACGTATAGACCCAAAAGCCTTTCATGTTGCAAATATACCCTCCAACTTTAGATATTTACAAATTTATGCTAAAACACTAGCATCGTTGTTTTTTTTTTGCCCTGCCACTCAAATTCACATGGCAATAATATATCCTTAGTTACTTGATTTACTTAATTATATAATAATTAAATAGGGAGCAGAAATAGGGAATGGTATTTACCAGGAATTTTAATTTACTTGATGAGCTGCTTCAGGCTGTCTGATTATTTCTGCAAGGAAAATTGAGGCAGTGATTCAGAATTTTTTCAGTATGTGTGTGAAGTACGTGTGTGAGGGGATATTTTTTGGGGGTGGGGACAATCTTTGATGTATGGGTGGCATGGGAGACTCTATGTGCAATGAACCAGGATGGCAGATTGGGATTTTGTGAGCTCAAAAGGGTTTAATAAAGTTTTATTAACTATTATGTTTGGATATCATGGTGTTTTACTTGTTTCCATGTTGTTTTTGCTAAAAACAAAACACCATGCGTTTGGAAACCATTGTATTTTTTGAGCTAAATCATCATCAAATAACAAACACAACACTTATTTCAAAACATTTTTTAGGTGTTTTAAGTTTGGTGTTTTGGTTTTGAGTTTGAGAAAGTATTAATATAATATCTAACATAATATATTAAATGTAATTAATATAGAGTTATTATCAACATGCTTATTATACTATACTATACTATACTAGATTATAGTTAATTTAATATATTAGTAATATTTATTAAATAATATAAAAATATAATAAATAAAATATCTTAAATAATAGGAAAAAATGTGTCCAGACCCCAAAAACAGAAACTTCATGTGTTGCAGCCCCTCTTAGTTTCCCCCATGTGATTCATCTCATTGAAGTGTGACACTTTGTACTGTAGCCCCTTTTAGTAATTATTACATGCCAGCTAAGCTAAAATCTCCAAAATAACATTATCTCCTCTCTTTAATCCCTCAAACTCAGCTCTCTCATCCTCTCTCTCACTCTCTCTCTCTCTCTCTCTCTCTCTCTCTCTAAAACCAAAGGCTTTCTCAAGCTCGTCGCCCTGGCCCTCGTCCTCCTCATCATCGCCGTCATCGCCTCCGCCCAGGCCCCTAAGCCTCGCCCTCGAATTTGCCGCAACGAGTCTGTTATGTTTGCTGGATATAAGAGGAAAATCATGGAGTTTAATTAAATATTCAGTTCATTTGTTTCTCATGTGTAACTTAGCCTTGTGTCAGAAAAGCAAGGGCTCACGGAAGTCTCGTGATTTACATAAATCAAAATTGTATTTTTATGTTGAGGCTCGTGGACGTAATGGCGGGTTTTGAAGTCAAAAAAGAAAGTGAATGACATGGCTAGTTTTGACTTCAATTCTAACGAGACTTTTAGGCTGCGTTTGGAAACTTTGATTTGGATTTGGAAAGTTGATTTAAAATCAAGGGATTTTAAATTTAGGATTTGAAATCCATGATGTAAGAAATCTTTTGTTTGGATATCTTTATTAAATGAAAGGATTTGAAATCTTTGATTTCAAAATCTAGTGTTTGGGTACTTTATTATACATGAATTTGAATTTAAAATTGATGAAAATTTATTCTCTTAACCCCCCATCTTGTTTACATCAAATGCAATGGAGATGTGTAAAATAGTAACCAAAAAACACATATTTAGGTAATTTTGGCGATGGTAGCCACATTTGCTAAGTTTTCAAATTCTTGCCCACCATAACTTGCAAGAGTTTCAACAAAATGAAAATGAAGAAAACTCTACAAACATATCAAGTATCTTACAAAAAAATATCTAAATAATACATTACAATTGCATATTTCACAGATATCCAGGCTGGAAAACACTTGAGGCTTGTTTCATATTTCATACATATTCAAAGTGAGAATAAGTTGATATCAGAGCAAATAAGTAACAATTCCATTATCTTCTCAAATGCATGTACAACTGATAATTACATAGTCAATTTGGTCTTTGATATACCAAGAGAAATGTTAATAAGAAAAAATACAAAGAGTTGCAAACTAAATAGCATGTGAGAAAAGAAGTATCATTGATGTAAAGAAATTGCAACTAAGGATTCAGAAGTTCTTGTATGATAAACCCTATCCGCAACAACAAAAGAGTAATTCATATGCCATCACGATATGAGCCCAAAACCTACAAAGAAAATGAGCAGATCAATAATTTTTTTTAATCAAGATAACAAGCTAACAAATTAAACAAAAATGTCGGATAAGTGAGACTGAATAAGATAAGCATCAAGCATGTATACAAGTGATAAAAATAGCCAATGCTTTGAAGAGAAAATGAGCAGATCAATAATTTTTTTTACCATTGAGCAGATCATCTTTCAAATGAGGGAAAAAAGCTAAACTTTTTACCGTTAACCTTTAAAATAACGTAGCCATGTGTTTGGTTCAAAATTTAGGAGGATACTAGTGGGACTATTTAGTCCTTTAAAACGAAAGAGTCTCAAGCTTCTGCACTAAACAATGGGGGAAGATGGTGTTACATAGTCTGTGTACTATTTATTACTCACTTGGGATTAAATCTACAATAAACTCCCTTGCTCTTTCCCCTAATTTTCTAAAATTACATTGAATATTCAATGTCTAATTATTTCACTTGGACGCTATGGCACTGGTTCCTGAGAATCACGCTCTTTAGGTTCAACAAAGTAAATATGGATCAGTATGCACCTATCTTTACCCCTGCTATATTATTAAGCGTGCGTATCCATGCACTTCTGTCTCTTTAATATTTTGTTAATATATCAGCTTTGATATATAGTAGCTAACGGAATTTCTAAACAAGATGCAGGATGGAGTTAATTTGAAATGATAGTGGGATTGCATTAAGCTCTACTCCACCATATATTGGGAGTTTGTCAAATTGAAAACTTGTTACATCGTGGTTTTGCACTCTAATATAAGCATGTAAATGAAGCAAAAGGAACTTTTGATTTCCACACTATTAGAGTATGAGTAAGAAATGCATTTAGAAACTAAATAAAAAGAAATGGAAGATATGCCAAGGTTATTAGAGTATGAGTAAGAAATGCATCATTATCAAGTATACACTAAAAAAAAGAACAGAATTCTCAATAAAATGAAAAATTTGCACCTTTGAGATGAGACAAGCACTCCTTACTTGAATTAGCTAAGAATCCATCAAAATCACCAAACCCTAACTTTGAGATGAGACAAGCACTCCTTACTTGAATTAGCTAAGAATCCATCAAAATCACCAAACCCTAATGCATTCATAAGAAATCATCAAAAATAGCTAAGAATCCATCAAAATCACCAAACCCTAATGCATTCATAAGAAATCATCAAAAAATTAGAAATATCCGGTTAAAAATATTGTTCAAATAACATTGAGATGAAGAAAAGTAGTCCGACCTGAAAACTAGAAACTACTCCTTAAGAATAAAGAGAATAAAATCTCTTTTTTCATCATCAAGAAGTGACTTCAACAAATAAAACTTTTACGGTTTGCTATCCATTATCTTCTCAAATGCATTGAACACTTGAATGTGACTTAAGTTGGGTATTTTTGAGACCACTTGATGAATCTCCTCTCCGGTTGGTGGTTTTCTTACTACTTCATTCTTTCTCTCATTAAAATACTCACTCATAGAAGCTGCCATCACTGCAAGTGAATCAACCATTTTATCCCCCTTTTTTGTTTCTTTGAGCTTATCTCACCACTAGTTGATGCTCTAGGAAGATGTTTCCTTGAAGAGCTTCCACCTTCATTTGTTTCAGATTGTGCCTCAGATTCCTCATGTTGCATTGCATTAGCATGCTCTTCAAAGGTTTCTACACCTTCACCATTGGCTCTATCTTTTGCACATAACACCATAATATCATCCCAATTTTTAATCAAACGATTCTGATAGCCTTTTGCATTTGGATTAGCCTGCAATATAAGAACATTCACAAATATTTTTAGATATATGCAACAAACTAATAATTCAAATTAATAAGTATAAAGTGTGATATTACCGAAACATAGTCGCTCCATACTTTTTGCTCACTAGCGGGTATAATCACCATTTTCTTCTCATCATCCCATCACGTCAAACCACTTTTATTTTTAATGTCATAGATAACATTATAATGTGTTTTCCAAATTTTGAGTTGATTCTTCACGTTATCTTTGTTCAAGTTGCTATTAAATGATTTTAGTGCATCAACCGCAACTTGATACACTTGAGGCTTCCAAGTACCATTGACTTTTAATCCTTGGTTCATTTGATCGTACAACACATTGGCTAAAGCTGAGTCCACATCTCAATTCCACACAACATATGATCTCGACTGAGATACAATTTTTTTCCCTTTCTTTGTCATCCTAATACATACCGAAGTGAATGACACAGAATTAGTAATAAAGCACAAAGGTTGATTAATAATGAACCTTCGACATTGTAGAATGAAGGCACGAGAAAAAGGTGATGACTACAAGTGTAAATAGCTACTGCAAAGTCTGCAAGCAATGAACAAAACAATGTTACTCCAATATTCAAAGATCATAAAACTTATCAAAGACATAAAATTATTCATAACTACTGACCAACTTTAGGATCAAATCTTATAGATGCTAGCCCCCTCTCAAAGTCGGTATTCATCCCACATTTGCATAGCTAAATCATCTCTAAAGTTACTCCATTCATTTGTAACTCTCACAGTGGTGATACGCTCCTCATCTACATTCTCAATTTCTAAAACATGATCATCTTCTAATTCTCGATCCACATCATTCAACAAGTCGTCTTCATTCATCTCTTCACGTAAAAAATTGTGAAGAATACAACATGCATTAATAATCCTAATTTGAGTCTTAACACTATAAAAGCTAGATGTCTGTAATATAGCCTATCACTTTTTTAGCAATCCGAATGTCCTCTCAATTGTGTTTCTAACAAAGGAATGACGTTGGTTAAATAACTCCT